CATGCCCTGGATTTTTAAACTGTTATTCTTTTCTCCTTAGCTAGATTGTCAGCTCCTCGAGTATCGAGACTATGTTTAATATGCTTATAAAATGAAAAATCCCCCCACTTTGCCTAGAGTGCTGTGCGCTAATAAATTTTTATTGCATGAATTACTGGTATCAGGAGTTGGGAACTGAAGTAATAACAATGCCTGTGAATGTATGTGTTCTTTGTCCTGGAAGATCACATTATTTGGAAGGCAGTGTCCACTCTGCAATCATCTTGCCCCATCACTCTTTTTTTTTTTAAGGCAATTGGGGTTAAGTGCCCAGGGTCACATAGCTAGTAAGTGTCAAATGTTTGGTCTGAGTCCAGATTTGCCTGTGTGACCTTGGGCAAGTCACTTAACTTCTCTGAAAATTAGTTATCTCATTTGTGAAAAGAGTGGGTAGAACCAGATGGCTTCACAGCTCTAGAGTCAGGATTATGTGATCCTATCACAATATTAATTCATATGTTAGCTCTTCCAAAATGAAATAAATTGACACAGCTGACATCCAAGGCACTACACATATTCTTACTTTGATGCCATGAATTAGTAGTTCAGGGGTTAAGGCAATGAAGTTTACATGTTGATAATAGTAAAAAATTAAGGTAAATGTTTTTCAGTCTGTATCTACTCTAATCAACTTAGGTATATTTTCTTAATTAACTCTGCCTAGCTGGAGCCAACTGAGGGTGGCACAGTGGACAGACAGCTGGGCCTGGTAGTCAGTCAGGAATACTGAGTTTAAATCCAGCCTCAGACACTTACTAGCTTTGTGATTCTGGGTGAGTCACTTAGCCTCTGTTTGCCTCAGTTTCCTTACCTGTATAAGGGGGATAATAGCATAGACCTCTCAGGATTGTTGTGAGTATCAAATGAGATAATATTTGTAAAGCTCTTAGCACAGTGCCTGGCACATAGTAGGTGCTATAGAAATGCTTATTCCTCCCCTTTACCTTCAATAACTACTAGGTAGTTTATCTACTTTATAAATTATAGAGAATTATTTCAAATTCTTAACATTGTCACATATTTTGCTTAATTACATGCTTAGAGCATTATTAGGGTCTTGGATTATTCTAGCCTAGTAGAAGGTAGAGGGGAAATCTTTATAGAACAGAGCAATTATATTTCTTCCATATAGAAAGTATAATCCCACAAATTTCTAGAGAAAGACCCTCCTTATTTTAGGCTAGTCTTTTGCATATGTTTGGAAGAGGAAGTAATATGTTCCAGGTAGGGAACAAGAGGGTAGGAAGAAACCAAATATCACCTTCTAAAAAATGTCTACCATTCATTTCTTTCTTTCTAAACTAGTTTATCATCATATCACCTGTCATCTGGTTTATTCTGGTAGGTTCTTAATTGGTCTTCTGGTTTCCAGGCCCTTCACTCTTTTTTTTTTTTTTTAAAGGCAATTGGGGCTAAGTGACTTGCCCAGCTAGTAAGTGTGAAGTGTTTGGTCTGAGTCCAGATTTCAACTCAGGTCCTCCTGACTTCAGGGCCTGCGCCAGCTAGTTGCCCCTCCCTTCACTCTTTAACCCACGTTCTACACAGCTGCCAAAAGAATCTTCCAAAGACACAAATTCTGACTATATCATTCCCTGGCTTAAATCAATTCCTTTGTTTCTGAGACAAAATGCAAACTCATCGGGCTGACCATTACACTCTATGTCCTTGTCCATATCTGTCTGTGTATATCCATGAAAATATACATCTCTACAGATATCTATATGGATATAGCAACATATATGAAAAAATGCATCTAGATCACATATGCAAATATATTCCTATCCCATATTTAGATAGGTTTAAGAGAGGCAGTGTGACGTACTGGATAAAGGGCCAACCAGCTATGGTATCAGAAAGACTTGGGCTTACCTCCTGCCTCTGACACATACTGACTGTGTAACCCTGGCCAAGTAACTTAATAATTTCAATGCTCACTCAGGAACGTTTCTAATATTATAAATCGCAGACCGAGTGCAAATTTCTATTAGTAGAGGAAATTTCTTCACTTATATGAAATTATATGAACTTACATATGAAATCATAAAAACTTATTAAAATGCATCTATACACAGAACATATTACATCCTTATATTCTCATAGATAACATGTAGATATACATGTGTGTACAAATATATGTTGCATACTTTCATACTTTAAGGATCTATTCTGCGGTTTTGTTATTATAGATATTCATTCCTTTGACACAAATCATATTCCCTCTGTAACTTTACACATACACGGTCTTTGTCCTTTTTGCCCAACAACAAATTTAGTGCATATGAGTGTATATATGTACATGAGCAATTGTGTTATAGCTACAAAACATACATGCATACATTTATTTTATATGAAGTTGTGTGGTATGGTAGAGAAACCTGGGTTCAAGTTATCTTCTGACATATACTGGTTAATGGGGGGCAAGTCATCTAATCTCTTTGTCATTGTATAGGTAATTCACTAAGACCATAAATTGCAAAGTAGGTATTGATTTGCTTTAGTAGAGGGAGTTTGCTCAGAAATTCCAATGAACATTCCAGTGAAATGAGAGGTTCAGTCCAAAATTATATGTGTGTGTGTGTGTGTGTGTGTATGTATGTATGTATATATATATGTGTGTATATATGTATATATATGTGTGTGTGTGTGTGTGTATATATATATATATATATGTATACATATATATATGCATATACGAATATGTTTGTATATCTTTATATGGTACTATGAATTACCTAAAGAGCAGAGTACCCTATATTAGTAGAAAGAAAAAAGAAACCTTTCAAAGCAAAAATGAATGATTTTTTGATTATCCGTATTCTCCATAATGGAGTTTATCTACCTCTCTTCTAGGGTAATTCAATTGACTGAGTTACTAAAAACTACTAGGAACCACAGCTGCTGAATCCCACTTACAATCATCTGTTGCACTCTAAGTAAAGTCCCTTTTAACTGACAGTTTATGAGTGTATGAGTCTTGGCCTGCATAAAGCCTGCTTACACGCATCCAACAATTGGGCCTAGTAATTTTAAGCCTTTAGTTTACTACTTATATCTCAAATATTAACCTGTCAAACATTTTGTAAGTCATTGGAACTGAAAAAAAATTATAAAGGGAGTTCATTATTTAATTTTAATTGTTTCATTACATTGTATAATACACTGTATAATTCATATTTTAGAAGACTTTATTTTTTGCAAGGCATTTGGGGTTAAGTAACTTGCCCAGGGTCACACAGTTAGTAAGTGTTATGTGTCTGAGGCCAGATTTGAACTCAGTTCCTCCTGACTCCAAGGCCGGTTCTGTATCCGCTGCTCTACCTACCTGCCCCCAGTACTTTTCTATCTGGTGTATTAAACTCACAGGAAGAGGGACTAGACCTGTGATTTCATTGGTTAAGAAAGCTCCTTCTACTAATTCAAGCCAGCACTTTCTTCGTGGCTTAAGCATAGAGAGCACAGTGACTCGACCAGGGTCACATGGCCAATATATGTCAGAGGCAGGACTTGAACCCGGTTTCCTGTTGACTCCAAGGTCAGTTTGTCATCCACTACACTTGCTGCCTCTCATGAAACTCATATATTTACCAAAATGTTCATGCTAATGCTTTGTAGGTTTTAATTTTTTTTAAAAAATCAAGACTTCATATATTCTGCAGTCTCTACATTTGGTGTTCTGAATAGTTTCATGATTTTATTTAGAAACTTAAGTCCCAACTACATGTTACAGGAATTAAGCTGAATAGTAAGGTTTGTGTGTGTGTGTGTGTGTGTGTGTGTGTGTGTGTGTGTGTGTGTTTTATACCTTGACAGTATTATTTCTAAAACAAAAAAAAATCTCATAGAACATTAATGAATTTTAAGACCATATTATAATTAGCATGATAATTTTATGCTAGAGAAAAATCAGGCTTTTGTTAACAGTTATATTCTTTTTTGCATATTTTGATAATGTTTATTTTTTAAAACTTGATTAAAAATAGACTTTTCAAAATCTTTACATTGAGAACAATAAAAACAAACGACAGGAATGAAGCCTGAGCTGTTTGTTTGGTTTTTTAAGGCTCCAGCTTGGTGGTGGAGTTGGCTTTTTTGTTGAACCTCTGTCTGAAAGTAGGTCATTTTCTCTTTGCCTGAGCTAAACTGGTTCCAAAGCCATTACAGCCACTGCCCCTGTGCTAAGAGACTTGGGCTGGTCACAAAAGATAATGCAGCTCAGGTTTAACATCAGACAAGTTTGAATAAACTTCTTGAAAACTTGAGATACCCTTCCTTGCCACAGTATCATAAATACAATGTTCAGTCATCTGAAGAACAACCAAAAAAAAGTTTAAACAAGTCCCACAATAAATTTCCTTTGATGTGATCTGAGGGGGCTAGTGACGTCACCAGCATGGCTTATAATGAAGCTAGAGACAGTTTGCACCAACAGCTTCCCTCAGCCTTCCCCTCTCTATGAGCTGCCAAATACATTCCCTTTTTGTTTCTGTTATAGAATATGGATCTGAGATGATTTTAAATCCTGCATAAATGCAGTTTTTCTTATATGCTATGAAGAACTTGTAAGCACACATGGCTTCTCTTTTGATACATGCACTGCCCTCAATTATTTAAAATAAGCATTTCCTTTTTTTTTTTTTTGGCATGGTATCTTACTGTTTTCTCTTAGTTGTGTTTTCATCATAAGATAGAAAAAAACATATTTATATATGAGAATGATGGCAGCAGAATTCTGACAAGCTGAATTTACATGGTACATTGTTCCAAAGAGCGTTTTGAGTAGAAAATACAGAACCTATTATACAAACCTACTTTTACATTTGAGAAATCATTAGCCTCAAAGGAGTAATAACGGTATGCCATTAAAACCGAGAATACATTTTTCGGTATCTGAATTAAAAAAAAAACTTTATAAATATGTAAATTTCAATTCAATAAATCCCAAATAAAATGCACTAAAAAACTGATATGTAGACAAAAGTTTATTTACACCATACAACATTTTAAATATTTTATACACAGCTGCAGCAGAGAAAGCTACTCTGAGCTTTCTGGAGAAAACTGCAATAATAAAGATGTGAAATATATTATTCATATAAAAGTGAGATTATTACTTTATTGCATTTAAAGCAATGAAGAATGTAGCTCAACAAACATTCATTTAATGACAAAAACTTCGCTTTTATATTATAAAGTAAAAAGTGTAGTAATGGCCAAACAGACTGTTATAAACTTTAAAAACTGCATAAATATATACATTGTGCTTCATGGTGAAGTTTTCTGAAAACTAAACCAAATGAAGCAGTTACAACATGAATCGTTGCTTGAGGTTTATCTATAAAGATTACCTTACAAATCCATTCCACGTTTACTTACAACACAGGATGGTAAGAATTGTACACCTGATTCTCCACTAGCTTGCCTAGCGGGACGATATGGTACGAAAACACCACTGACGTTTGGCACATGAAGATCCTGACATATGTACGGTAGCCACAATGTCCAGAGAGGAATGTCAGGCTTCCCAAGTCTTGAGTGTCAGCGCAATGAGCCATCTCTTTTCCATAGCAGTATATTTTGCTTTCTTTCTGTTACACCTCTGTTTGAAAGTCTCCTTCCTGCACATCGAGAGGCAAATTCAGACACTTCTCCCATTCTGCTGGTCTTAGTTCCAAAGCGTCTTTTGCCTCTGTGTCTAAAACATTTATTGTGGTGTAATGTTGATATTCACTAGGGTTTTTGAAAGTGTCCCATGGGCTCTTGTTTGGTGCTGGGTTTTCCTGTGAAGAAAAGGAGAGAAGAAAGCCATTTATGTGATGGATGGGATTGGTGTCTTTTTTTTTTTTTTGGAGCGTCTCAGGTAACTGCCTATTTGCTGCTTTAATCCAGCTTAAGTAATTACAGAGAGGATCTGAAATTGCAGCCAGCTGCCAAGGAACAGGCCTGATTTGAATTCGTTTGCATTGAAAAAAGAGTAGATGAGCACCTTGTCTCTAACTTGTGATTCATAGAGCTAATCTGGAGGAGCACAGAGAATAAACTCATTTAGGGAAGGAATCTTAGTAAGATTAGACTCTTAATCGCTCAGACACTAGTTTTGTGGCTGTAGGCAAGTAACTCATTTAGACCCAGTTTCTTCATCTGTAAAATGTGAAGAATAATGGCATCTACCTCAGTGATGTGGTAAGGATCAAAGAGATAACATATGTAAAGAGCTTTCCTTTACAATGCTAGCTATTATTATTATTTAGAGCTGGAATGGGCCTAAGAGGCCACTTAGTTTTACAGGAGAGAAAACTGATGCACAGAAAGGTTACATGACTTGTCCCAGATGGCTTGGCTCATTGTTGTTTCACTCATGTGTCTGACTCTTCATGCTCTCATTTGAGGTTTTCTTGGCAAAGACACTGGAGTGGTTTGCCATTTCCTTCTCCAACTCATTTTACAGATGAGGAACAGGCAAATAGGGTTAAGTCACTTGCCCAGGTAGTGAGTGTCTGAGGCTGTATTTGAACTCATGAAGATGAGTCTTCACAACTCTGGGTCTGGTCCTCTATCCACCGTGCCACCTTGCTGCCAGGGCCTTTACTTCTAAATCCAGCATTCTTTCCACTGTACCCACATGGTCTATGGTCATTGAGTGGCTTGTTTGGGGCATTTGCCAGGGCCCTTAGTTCTGGCAAGGAAGGGAAACTCAAATTAAATGATAGAAAATTGGCAATTTGGTGATAGAATCTTCTGAGATATAGGCAAGGAGCTCAGATTATTAGATAGCCATTATAAGATAATAAGACTTGCCAATGATTACACACCTTGGTAGTGGTCTCCAGACCAAAATCAAAGATGTCTAAGCCCCTTTGGGCTTTCTCACATTTCTTTTCTTTTCCTTTCCTTCTTTTTTCTTTTTGTATTGTTCAAATACTTCTCATCTTCCCTTGTTCCATATTCTTTCACTTCTTCCATTGTACAACTTTCCATATTCTCATACATATTTTGGATACTCGTTTCCAGTTTTACAAATTGTTTCCTTCTGATTGTTCAGTTTTCTGGGAAACATTTCCTGAATAACAGAGCTTTTGAAGACCCCTCTGCCAAATAGTCAGCTATTTTTCTAGAATCATTTCCTGATTTTCTCCTAATGCTTAATAATATTAATAACTTTAGATATTGCTTTAAGGTTTACAGACTGCTTTATATATGTTATCTTTTTGATTCTCACACCAACCTGGAGAAATGTGTTATTACCCCATTTTATAGATGAAAAAGCTGAGTCTGAAAAGTGTTAACTTGGTTATCTGAGGAAGGATTTTGGAAGACTTATGTCTTCCTCGCTCCAAATCTAGCACTATATCCACTATATCATCTTATAATGAATTTATCATGCCTTTTCTGAGGGAAGGGTGCATCTCACTGTTGGTAGAGTCCTGACCACGTCTATATGGCATAGCATTTGTGCTCTTTTGTGGCCATGGAAATTACTGTGTTTTAAATGACAAGTTATTTGACAATTAGTACAAAATGAAGAAACATGATAATAGGTGGAGTTTTGTGTATGAGCTTTATAGCAGAAATCATTACTGACATCTAAGTTAAAAAAAAAAAACAAAAGAAACCATCCATCAGACCAATTTGTGTGTTACCAAACTGATGTGAAATTACAGCATATTGATCTGAATGTCATATTGCTTAGTCCTATGAGGAAACATCAAATGGAAACCGTGCTTTGCACAACTGCCCAGTTATTAAATTTAATCCAGAAATTTGCTAACATGAATCATCATTCGGGAGAGGATGTTGGCTATTTAATGTCCTCTTGCTAAATATGCCCATTAGAATAAAGAGTGAATAGTTTTAAAAATAGTTTCACTTAGGATCATAAATTTAGAAGGTGAAGGGAGCTTATAGACCAACTAATCCAAGTTTTTCATTTTACAGAGGCCTAGTGATTTGCAAAAGGCCTTGCAGGTAATAAATGCCATAGCCAAGATTCATCCCCACATCCTCTGACTCCAGGTCTAGGTTTCTTTACACTTCCCCAGCTATTTTACTTTGAAATTTAAAATGATTTTACTCCTGAGAACATGGATTGTTTATCTTCATTAATTCTTTTTTTAAAGAAAAAAACATTTTTTATATTTATTCTAGATTAATATAATACAATTTATATTATATTTATTCTAGTTTAAAAATATATTTAAAACACAATGCAGCTTGTTTGCAGATCTAACATCTTCCTTTTCTTTTCTATGCTGACATATCCAACTCAATAAGCTCATGTTTGTGAAATTCAAATATGTTTCGTGGAAAGAAGTTAAACATTCTCCCTTTCCCCCAGTTTCTTATAGGACTGCAGGATTATAGATCCAAAGTTGAAAGGGACCTGAGAAGTCATCTAGTTCAAGCCCCTCTTTTTATATTTGAGGAAACTGAGTCCCGTTGAGGTTAAGTGATTTGTCCAAAGTCATCTAGGTTGTGATTGTAGTGATTAACTAATGAAGGACATAAAACAAACGTCTGGCTTATTTGCTGCACTCCATCCAGTGACTCCACCTCTCTTGGAAGTTTAAAAAAAAAAGTCTGAATGTAACATTAGTATAAAAACTGGATCAACCAGAACTGAGCTCACTCGCTGTCTTTAAATATTTGGAATGTTTCCCTCTTTTGCTTTTATGAGGAGACCAATAACAAGAACATAAAAATGATGTCAGGGAATTAATTTTTGAATAATAACTTTGATGGCTATTCCCTGGGGTAGCTGAAAAACATTTGTATTGATTCTTACTTTAGAGTCTTGTCCATTGGTGTGCTGGAGGCAGCTCATACCAGCTATAACTATTAAATTTTCATTGTGAGCATTTACACCTTGGAAATGAGCAAATACTACAATCAGGGCTTGATTCGCTGTTTTGTTGATTGTCTCTAGACTAAGAAAGTGGTGGAAAAAATAGTAATAATAAGATTAAACTTAAATGTGTGCTGTTATAGAGTTTCTTTTGGAGAGCTGGTTTTTAATCACCTACCAGCACACCCCTGGTCTTGTTTAATTTCTAAGAATTTGTTTTAATGAATCATAGGGATAGAGGGTGGATCTGATTTCACTGGCTTAGAGTACTCCTGGAGGAAGAAACTCTGTCTACCAATGAAGGTCTTCACTTTTACTATAATATATAGCTTTACAGAGCTGCCTAGGGCGCTATGAGGTTAAGTGATTTGCTCAGTCACACTGTTAGTATGCATCTATTAGCAGTGGAACTTGAAAACAAAGACTTTTGGTCTTTGAGGCTAGGGCACTATCCACTATTGAATACTGCCTGTCATAACAAATAACAAGAGGACTTAAACAATATTGGCGTCATTTTAAGGCTCTCCTTGAACAAGTAGTTAGTCACTCTGCCCTTGCCTGATTTTTCTATAATGCCTACCTCTGGAGCTCTGAAGGAACGAGTCACATCCCTGAAGGCAGTCTTTTTGTGGTGAGGAGCTATCATGACCATCACTGAAGCCTCAGAATTTGGGTGGGGGGAGCTGGAAGAAGTGGCAGGTAGTAATAACCAGAGGGCACTTGCCAGGAAAGTATGATTTTTTAATAACACTGTAGATTGGGAGGGGAGTATAGAGTGCCTACCTTTAAGGGTAGTATTGATGATCAAATGATATAATATTTGTAACGTGTCTAGCATGTAGGCATTTATAAGTCCTTCATTCCTTTATGCTTTCCTCCTTCCCTCTATTCATCCCTTCCTATAAATACTCAATGTATTAAATAATTTTTGCACAATGTAAAAATCCCATTTCTGCTTTTCCCACCTAATATGATATCCTGAACCACCTGGCTTCTTTCTGTTCTAATTTCAAGCCTTGTGCTGATGAGACACAGTTCTCTGAGGGGAATGGGTTTAGGCTGCAGCAAGGAGGATTTTGAACAGCTATTTGGGTGTGACATGCACACAGATATATTTAAGAAAGAAAGAGGAAAAATTCTCTCTCTGGAGATCATTAAACAATGATCTTTCTGGGGCGATTTGATTACTATCTTGCCTTGAGCAATGAAAATGGACAAGATAATCTTTCAAGTTTCCTTCTATCCCTAAAAAAATTATTATTTTATGAAATTACTATCATTTAGGTGTTACAAGTTAATAACCAGATAAAAATAAAAATTGCCTAATTGATATTTTTAAAATGTCTTTTCCTATCCAATTAGATTTGTCAGCAATAATATACTACTACAAATAATGTGACTTAATTAGGGATAATGAACTCATATCTTACAAGTTTATCATCAATAAAACAGAATAAAGAACTCTTTCCCCCCCCCCCATTCTTGAAGAGTTAGGGCAATAATTATCTAGGAAAGACAGTTTTTGCCTCCCCTACCTACCATTTAATGCAGTAATAAATGTTTATAGACAACATAGAAATTTAAGTAAATAGAGAAAAGTCATGCAGCTACAGAGATGTTTAATCAGAAGGGCAATAGAAACTGTCAGGATACTGAGATCCATATATTTGTACCATTAATGATTTAGTCCTCAGACTAGAGAGTAAGGGGGAAATCAAGACTGCATACAACACTGGTCAGCCAGCTGGATTAGCTGCGTGTGCCTTCTGGATTTGATAGGTGTTGAAGATATGATTTCTTCAATTTATTTCAAATTCAGCTTCAGTCTTTTTGGAGGAATTGTTGAATTTACTTCCACCTAATCTCAAGGCAGAGAACTGTGTTAATGTCATTTGTCGGCCAAAAATCTGTGCCCGATGGTTAGGACGAAGTGGAGGGAAGTAATCAATTTCTGATTATAAAATGTCTGCTATGAGTATAGCACCATCTTAGGCACATTAGGGGATTCAAAATAAGTGTAAAGTAGTCCTGCTTTCAAGGAACTTACATCCTTAGCAGGCTAAATGAGTCTGATAGCTGGAAATATCACTTGCTAACTAGTACTGCAATGAGAGGAGTTCAAGCTAGCTGAGATTTGAATAAAGTTAGGGATTTTAAGAAGTGGGTGTTAGGAGGAAGTGTATTTTGGCATAGGAGACAGTCATGGTCAAGGCACAGAGGTGGGAAATTGAGTATGAGGGGGCTACAAAAGCATCTTGGTAATGGATTCTTTGAACGTGGCAGTTCATGAAACAAGATAAAAAAATAATATAGACCTCAGTCTTTTTTTTTTTTTGCCTCTCAACCACAGTTATTACAGTCTGGAGGATTCTGGTCTGGGGGAAGGGTGGAAGAGTAGAGAGATAGGACTGAAATTGAATGTGGAGAATGCTTAGGTTTTAGGTAGGCAAAACTTGGAGGTAAGAGCATTCAAGGCACATGGGGTAACATGAGGCATTAAGATCTAATTTATTAGGGTGGTTGTGAAGAACAATGAGAGGGCTGACCAGCCTACAACAGTGTATGACCTTGGACAAGCCACCTTTGCTCTCTGGGATTCAATTTTCTGTTCTATAAAATGCGGGCCCTTTGAATCTATGTGCAGATGCCACAGTAATGCATCATGGAGTTGTATTCTGCATCAATGGAGGAAATAAATACACGTATGGAATCATAGATCTTTTGAAGTCTGCTTTGCACCATGTAAATAAGCCTTTGAAAAAAAATATCTTCTTCTTAATGATAAGTGAGGTCATTCCATAGCATAAAGACAGGTGTTTCTGTCACATTTGTCAACTAACCCACTCATTTTGGCACCTAATTACATCGGTTCATGGATGGATTCTTCTCTTTTTTATGAGCAGACATTTTGGCTAGCCAAGAAGATTGTGAGCTTTGTATGGGCAGAGATCATACCTCCTCGGATATATTTCTTCTGCATTCCCCTGCAGCAATCTAGCAGGGTCCTAGGAACATAATACAGTGGGTGGGCATTAAATACTTGGTGTACTGAATTTACATTCAGTGAATTGAGCTGACTAAATAAGAGTATACTCACCATACTGCTTGTATTTGGTATGTCCCGAAATCTGTCCAAAGTCTGAAATTTCTGATTTAGTTCCTGAAATAGTTCCATATGTCTCTTCCTAGTATGCATGACCTTCTGCAAGGGAAGACAGAATGGTTTTCATTCCTAATTGGATTTTTGCTTTTTTTAAAATTTAAGATTCATTATTTTCTCTTTGCTAATAAGGCAAATTGAGTTTGGCAGGAGTCAGGGGGTCCCTGTAGACTCCGCAAATGTAAATGAGTTCCACCAAATCTCCTCTTTGGTCTCTTATTCAGCAGTTTTTGTACATAAAATATTGAATTTTCCTTCTGCTTACAAGACTGCCAAAAATAGTTTTCTTGTGATAGTACAGATGTATTACAAATGCAATCACCTCAGTGTAAGATTTTCATCAAAGTTAAAACTGTTTTTTAGCAAAATTGTTATAAAAGAATATGCAAATGCATAAAAATGTATATATTTACAGCATATGTATATATAAATCTGGATGCATGAAGCACACAAGCCCCTCAATTCTTGAAAGGGTAAATATTACTTGTTATGCTTTATTTCTATAAACACAAAAATCTGATCTGGCTGTACTAAAGGGGAAAGGAATTCCTAGTCCTGCTGTAAAGATTGACCCAAGACACTACATTAACTGAAATGTACATAGGCTCTAAACTCTTGTGTGTAATTGCCGAGGGTTGATGTAACTTCACAGAACAAGCATCAGCTTCAAATACATGAAGTCTTTCCAAATCTCCCTTAATTCTAGCAATTTCCCTCTGTTGATGATCTCCAGTTTATCCTGTACATAGTTCATTTGCATATGGTTGTTTGAATATTGTTTTCCTCATTAGACTGTTATCTCCTTTAGAGCAACTACCTTGCTTTTCTTTGTATCTGCAGCACTTTGTGAAGTGACTGACTCATGGTGGAATCTTAAAAATGATAACAACTGACTGATTGAGGAGGAGGCACAGGGTGGTCTTTTCTTTGTTCCTTTCCAGGCTGTACTCCTAATTCTCTCAGAGCTTCTCTACATTGGACTAGAAGCCTTCTCAGTCTGGAAGCTCACTCCCGCTCTGCATTTCAGACATTAGATATATCTGTTATCCCTGCAGCCTCTCCCTCCAACGGTTTGGTGCCTCCCAGGACCTCCACTTTAAGGAGGAGTCTCAGGCCAGCCACGTCTTTGTTCCTTGACTTCACTTCTATATTATCTACTGCTTTGATATGCTGCCCTCCATACTGGTGCCTTCCTCTTTTCTCTCCTCTCCCTGCCACCTGCATTTCAGCTTCCAATTATGTGTTGTATTCCCCTACTGAAATATAAGCTTCTTAAGGGCAGGAACTATTTTTCTTTCTGCTTATAATTCTATTTTCAGTGCTTAGCACAGTGCCTGGCACATAGCAAAGGATTAAGAGATGCTTGTTAACTGAATGACTACTTACTTGAACAAAGTAATCATTAGAGTCCATGGAATAAAATGTGAAATTCAGTAGTTCCTAAAAATACATAAGTATCCCCATCCAATTTCTTCATACTACCCCACTGACCCACTACTCCACCTTCAAATTTAATGTTGTTAATATTACAATGACTACTATAGCACTCTGTTGCTACAAAGTGTTTTCATGTGATATTCTCAAGAGTTGTGACATAATGAATAGAAGGTTATTCTTGAGGTAAGGAAGACCTGGGTTCAAGTTCTGGCTCTAACACAGATTAATTCTGTGATCACAGGCAAATGACTTAACCAACTTTCTAAGACTGTAAATTACAGATAAATTGTTTATATGTATCTGTATGTGTGGAAGGATTTTTCACATCAGGATGTTTCCTAAACTGATAAAATCATTGCTATGGACTTCAATGCTCCACAAATACATATATAGTGTTAAATTATTTAGGGGAATCTATTTTGCACTGAACCTTTTTGAGAATGCAACGTTAATAAAATAATAATGAAAGAAAAAAGTTATGTAAGCAATACCATGAATTTGCAGGACACAGTTTATAAATATTGACCAGAAAGAAGTCATTCCCAACTCTTGAGGATGAGAGCCAGAATTCAAATAAAATCATTAATTTTTAGAAGTTAGAAATTGAGGAAGAGGGCATTAATATGTGTTCCTCTAGGACCAGATACATAATCTATTTCCCTAGTTTCCCTAGCATGTTCATTCATAGGCCTTCTGGTTACTTAATTTGCATAGGGTAATACAGAGATAGGGACTGAACCTGTGATTTAGGGAACTCTTAATGAGGAAAATTGCTCTCTCTTATTCCCTTCTCTGCAACATATAGTCTTAGAACTATCTTGATCACTGACAGGGTAAGTGTCTAGTCCAAAGTCCCATAGTCATTATGGAATGAGAGGTCTTTAACAGAGCTGATTTCCATACATGTGCCATATCAGTAAGTCTACCTGTCTAACTTAAAGTATTATTTGGACACTTGGTTCAGAACCAAATAGCTAATTTAATTTCTTAACATAAGGATTTGTTTTGAAAATGTTAAAGTGATATATTTGCCTAAGGTCTGTAGTGTCTACTTTTGTCCCCAAAGACGTTCTTGGAGTGTATTTTGACTTCTTCAGGAGCAAGAATGAAAATATATCATGAGAATTCAAATTTTAATTTAATAACATGAAAGGATCTTCTTTCTTACACCAATACTGATTCACATCTTTTATACACAGTAAACTTGGATTTAAGCCAGTGTCTTTTCTGTTCATTCTACTTGTGAGAGATGTTGCCACTTAAAATCTCATAATACCCAAATAATCCCAACCCTTGACATTTTTAGCTCCAGATATTCACTGATAACAAATCAGATAGTGGAGGACAGGAAAATGGCAGCATTGTTAATGATAATAGGATGAAACATAACAAGCAATTATAGAGCCATTAGCTTCACATCAGTTGTGGGGAGCATAGCAGAAACAGAATGGCAGGGCTTGGTGAAGAGCCACCTTGCAAATATAATTTGACTAGTGATAGATGGTACAGATTTATGACAGAGAGAATTTGCTGTAACAATGGGTATTTTAAAAGACAAAGTGGCCTTTGCTGGCAAATATCATATAGTACATCCTGTTTAGGTAAGGTAGGAACTAATTTTTTTTTTAATAATAAAAAATGTTACCCTTAGTACCAAGTCCAAGTCTATTAAATAAACTAAGGATAGATATCAGAAGGCTTAAAATAATTTGGCTTGTAGAATCTTGGCTATGAGTTTCAGTTGATGACTCTCCCTATTTACATTTTTTTCAACTGGGGCAAAACAAACATCTCATTGTGACATTTTCCTTGTGGATTTCAAAAATAGCTAATGTTAATAAAATAATGAGAGACATTAGTATAATGTAGCCTTGGAGTCAGGAAGACCTGGGTTCAAGTCCTGCCCTAGACAATTACTAGTTCTGTGACCCTGGGCAAATCACTTAACTTCTGTCTGCCTCAGTTTCCTCTTCTGTAATATGGGGATAATATTAGCTCTTACCTCCTAGGCTTGATATAAGGCTGCAATGAGATACTATTTCTATTAATATTTCAATACAAATGTTATCATCATCATCATCATCATCATCATCCTGTGTGACCCTGGGCAAATAATTTAACTTCTCATTGCCCCCACGCAACTCACTAAGATTGTAAATTATAGATGAATTTTTGCTGTCAGTGGAAAGAGTTTTCACACAGGGAATTCATCAATGGAAACACTGGTCCAAGCCAAAAACCAAGAGAAATCAAACATCTACCAGATAGCATAACAGGGTCAGATTTTCTAGGATTACCTTTTCTAATAAAGTCAAGTTCCCTTCATTAATTTCTCTGGACCTCATTTTCCTCATTTGTAAAGTGACACTGTCTCTGAGGTTCCTTCTAGCTTTATATCTCAGTTATCTGTGATATAAAAGAGCATTTTATTTTGCTTCTTGGATTTTTTGGGGGGAGAATGAGGCTCAAAGCTGTAATTTCAATTCTCTATGAGGAAACTCCCTTCACTAATGAATATCAACACTTACTCTTCAATTTATAATCTCAGCCATTGAGTTGTGTGGTTAAGGGACTTACCCAGGGTCACTCAGTTTATATAAAAGAGAGGATTTGAACCCAGGTCTAATTGACACTGTGCCAGGCTCATCATGTACTAGACAGGCAGCACTGCTTCTTTATTATTTATAAGCAATAGAACTTCCCTCCCTCCCCCCACCCATGGACCTTTATGCATTTCTTTTCTCCCATTTCAGTTTATATTCTCCTGATTTTCGATCTCTTTTAATCAAGGTTTTTGAAGATTTCCTGTTTCTTTTTCTCACCGGAGCAGCTCTTCCTTTCCCCATTTATTCCTTTCTGCGTTTGCTTTCTATGGAGTTCGTGTCCTAAACTTATGCTCCTGCAATTTTAAGTTCTTCATTTTTTATTTCTGCCCTTTTGATAATGCTCAGCTTTGACACACCACAATCTCTCTGGCTAGCCCCTTGAACTTATTTGTCTATTCATTTTCTTATATTTTCTTCATCTGGTCAGTCAGCAGAGTACTTTAGTAGAAGTAAAGTTATTTCAGCATCAGTGGGGAACAAACCTAACCCCAACTCTATTCTAGGAAAAAGAAGATGCTTGGTTTTCTTGGAGGATTCCTAATCACATTTTGATTGAATGAGGACTATATCTGAATTGCATGAATAAATGCTTATAGGAGTGGGATTCTTGTGAGGAACTAATCAACGAATTTCATAAGCACTTTGAGGACAGAAAGTTCTACTGTGTACATAGTCACAAAATAATATTAAAATGACTGCAAAGCTTTTTGAATATAAAATACAACTGATATGGTTTGTTAATGGTTCTAGGTTAAAAAAAATTGAGTACATAGAAATTATTATTAGAAGCTAGATGTGAAACATTTGTGTTCCTACCTTTCTACCTGGAAGCATTTACTTATTAATAGGTCTGGCTGTCAAGGAATCACTGGCTTTTTCAGGATCATCTTGACAGTAAATGCTCAAAGCAAAGGGCCCCCAGAAGTTCTGTGAGAGGTATGCCAATTCTTCCTTCACAGCATCTGCCACATCTACAGCCTTCACTCCACTCAGTTAGAT